TCATGGTCGAGGTTCAGTTTAACTCTACTCGCCTGTCCAATCTCTACATCCTTTATTGGTAAAAAGTTGCCTTAGTTCTCATTGTTGGCCGAAACTTTCTGTGTGGATTCTCCAGTCCATGTTCTCTATTGTTTGTTGCTGCATTTGAAGGACTAGTCCGCACAAATGTGTGCTTAGGCCTTTGTTGGAAACTGCTTCCTTCATGTTGCAATTTAATGTATCCTATTACTGTTTTAAGATCGGTCCTTTACTCATAGATTGATTTGTCACAATCTTAGCATTTATTAGATAATTGTTCAAGATGCCTATGGTTATGAACTACTTCTTTAGGAGCCAACTTACTTGTGGAATCCGTAACAGCAAAGTCGTTTTCTTACCTGGTTGGTCTGTTGCCACATGTAAATCCGTGCATAACTTTTGGATCGATTGCCTTGTAAGGAGGTTCAATATTTTTCTGCATTCTCTCCTTTCAAAGTTGCAGAGCCTTGGTGCTTCTCTTGCTGGACTTGCCCCCCAGTAATTTTGTTTGGTGAGCGCAAGATCTTTCTTATTTTTCTGGCCTGAAATATTCACATCAATATTTCTCAAATAACTGAACAGCAGATCTTTTGTAAGACTTTTGTTGGATAACAGTTGCTTCAAGGATATGGTGCTCTCGATTATCTTGATAATCAGCTGTCTTCGGCTGTAATATGAGCCACCCTCCGTGTACTTGTTGTCCAGTCTTTGACAGATCTTCCTCAATTCTTGGTCGCTGCATTTATTGAGAAGATCTTCCCAACTGGCTATCTCTGTACAAGTAGGCATTGTTTTGCTGCTATTGTTGCAGGTTTTCAGTGTAGTTTCTCTGAACTGGTGAGGAATGGAAGTGTAGGGAAAAGACTTCAGTGTTGTGTAATGTTACTAAGAAACTCTAAGCATAACAAGGGGTGGGCTTTGGGTTTCATGCTTTCTGAAATTCTCACTGGTTGAGGAATCAAATGTTTAACCCATGCTAATGATTATCACGGGCCATGCAAATTACACAACCAACCTCAGTCAGTTTTAGAGTTTGTGTGTGATTCAGGAACTAGCATCATTTTGTCATGCATTCAGCTTTTAATTTTGTTGATCACTAATATTTTACTAAATTTACTACAATAATGTTTATGATATCCACCTCTTATGAATCTGGGTACTTCCAGTTGAATGCTCTGGCACAATTTTTTTAAAACTGTGATGTTCTACATGAAGTCATATCTTTTGTTAATGCATTGTTTCTCCAGTTATTGATGATACAGCAAGGGAGACGTGAGCAATTTATCTTCCAGATCCATACATATTCATGAGAACACCTGTACATTGTGCAGCCAGGGCTTGGTTGGTAGCCTTCTTTTGTGTTGGGAGATTTGTGAATTCTGTTCTATTCTTGGACTTAAACATGAAAATGAAGGCTGATGCATCAGTCCCGTACTGAAGGAATACTTCACTGTCGAAGGTGCCATCTTTCAGTAGGAAAATTGAACCCAGGCCCTTTCAGGTTGATGTAGAATCTTCACAGAATCAGATGATCTGGTCATTATCACCTAGGGTATTTTTGAGAACTTGCTGTTTGCTGTCCTACTTTACAGCAGCTGACTGAGTTTCACAGTTATATCGGTGATATAATATTTTGGAACTTCTTGTAGTTGTGGAAGGTGCTGTTTCAGTGGAAGTGTTTTTTCAGTCCCCAACTCCATTGTTTTTATGAATACGTATCCTATGTATGATCAGTGCATCTTAGACCTTTTTTTGTCATTTCCATTATCTTTTGACTTTCATTTTTATAGTGCTTCATTGTTTTGCATTGCATTTTAGAGCAACCCTTCACAAACAAAAATGTAATTCTGATAATTTTAATACGTGCTAACCAAGCCCTAACTTTCCATGCAGTAAAATTGGAGTTATATCCAGAATTTAGTTTTACTAGTAATTGTGCACTAGTAAACCAGTATGGTATGACAGGACTTATCATATGGAAGAAGGTCATTTGGCTCATGTGTGCCAACAAGTAGCTTATCAGTTTGATCATACAGTCTTGGTCTTGGTCTTAGTCCATAACCTTGTGTGTCACAGTACCCTGGAGCCATATCAAAGTGCTTGTTAGATGTCATGAGGATGGCTGCAAGGTACTGTCCTTTCAGTCCACAAGTTCCTGATTTCTACCAGCCCTCTGGGTGAAGCAATTTCCTCTGAAATATCCTATCTTAGCTTAAATTCATGCCCAAATGTGATCACATGATGAAGCTGTGTTTGCATTGGATATTAAAGACCTGTTTGGTTAAGCCAGCCTTTGGTTGTTGAATAAGCAACAAATAGGCTTGGCGTAGTTAAGAGTGCAGACCTGCTGGAGAAATGTAAACGATATGACTCACTGGATAAATATACCTGCTCTTATCTGAGCTTATGAACCAAGCAAAACCATTATTTGTTCATCTAATCTTTTGAGGAGATTGACTATATTTTTAATATTCGAGCATGAAAGAGTTATTGTTCTTCACACTCTAGTGCTCTGTGTTTGTTATTCTGTTGTCACAACATACTTGGGAAAGTGCACTGATGCTGGTGCCCCACTACTCCAGAGATCAGTTAAAAGTTGAACATGCAATCAAGTTACTCAAAGACTCCAATTTGTGTGCCTCGCAAACTCAGATTAGTTGAATACACCAACTAGATTTCTGTCCTTAACAAAAAGCAGCTGCTTGCTACAAATAAATTGGTTCTAACCACAGGCAAACAAAATGTAACTTCTCAGCTTATAATGCTTAAACTTAAACTCAACCCCTTCTTAAAGCCCTAACATGCAAATTAATATAGATATAAAGAAACAAACAAAAAATCAAGATTATGGCTGGAGGAAGAAAACAAGGGGAACACAGTTCAATAGCACCAGTCCACGGGGTTTAATGCTGTGTCCTTTTGCTTCTTCCAAGTCCTCTGATCATCAACATCATCATCTTTCCAAGTGACTTCAGTTCTTTACTGAAGACGCAGGGTGATTGGCACACTAAATGTTCAGTCGTTCGTTGGTTCAGAGCAGTGGCTTATGACACATGGTGAGAGAATAGCTAACTATTGACCAATTCTTTCTTTATTCTGTACAAGAAGAGAGGCTTTTGTCTTGTTAGATGCTGGGTACTTTTTGTCGCTGTATTTGCACACGTGCTGTACACCTACATAGGAACCAATCGGAGAGTAGTTGCCAAGCTGTGCACTGCTGACCCCCCCACAACTGGCCCTGATTGAAAAACTAACCAACAGGCAGTCTCTGGGGGGAAAAGCTACTGGTGTGGCAGAAATGGATTATCAACATAGGAGTGTAAGAGGGAAGGAGGTGTGAATGGCAGTTGTGGAGTTGGAGTACTAAATTGTGACATTGATATTTAATATTGGTAAGGATAAAAAGTATGAGTTTTCTAATCCTGTATAACATTCATTTTAAGTTTAGCCATGATATTTACTTGGATCTGCTTTCAGACCCATTGCTAATTTCCTTGCCAAAAATAAAATTGGATGGTTGCAAAGTGTTTGGACACTGGAAATCCAAAACAAAAAGATGAAAGTTCAGTCCTGAAACACACCTTTAGTCTTTGCAGATGCTTCCACACCCCAATACTTCCAAACAGTTTCTGTTTGTATTAGATTTCATAATTTCCAACACTAATTGCCCTCACAATCTGTTCAAACATGTGGATCTGACGAGTGATTCACTGTCACAGATGACTTTGTTTAAACAGGTTTTGTAAAATTATACTCAGGCTATTTCTGTACAAATGAATAGGAATAAGAAAGACAAGGGCAACAAGCATAAGGGAGCACCTCCACCTACAGTTTTCCCTCCCAAGTCTCTATCAAACCTGACTTGGAATTATATAGCACTTCCTTCACTGTTCAGATCCTGGAATTTTTGTCCCTAACACTGATTCTATCTCTGACCATTTGGATTGCAGTGTGGTTCAAGAAGGCAACTGACTCTATTTTCTCAAGGGCATTTGGGATCAGCAATAGATGCTGACCTGACCAGTGATGGCCACATCCTCTGAATAAATTTGATGAGTTTCACTCCCAAAACAAATGACACAAATTGTAACACGTATTGAAATAGTTGAACCAGAACAAAAGCAAAATTCTGCAGATGCGTAAGGTTGAAATTAGAAGCGAAAACGCCACTTCTGCGTTAGTTTAGTATCATCTGCAGAGAGATGAACAGAAGTAATGTTTCAGGGTCAGTGGTCTTTCATTGTCCTGATGAAAGCCCATTGATCTAAAGCATTGAATCTGTTCCTTCATCCACAGGTGTTGAGTATTTCCAGCATATTTTTGCAAAAACCGTTGAGTATTATTTCTGTGTGATTTTTCTGTTGGGTGGAGTTGAACTCTAAGGTTCCCCCGTAAAGTGAAATATTCCTGCCTGTGCCATAGCTCCATTGTTGCTGGGATCTGGGATAATATTCAGGAAGAGAAACATATCATGGATGCTGTCCAATTTCGCTCCATTCTTTATACACCTTTTGAGTGTGCATACACATGAACTGCAGTATATGAAAGCATCTGTCATTTTGTTAAGGCCTGGTACTTGGCGCCATGCAAAACTGACTGATGCAGTTTTATTTTTAATTTGTTCAGTGAACGTTTAGACTTGAAGTTGCAAATCAGAAATCAGAGGGCCATGAATTTTATGTCAGTTTTGCGCAATTACAATTTCTGTTTCTCAGTGTCCCACTGTTTTAATGATGCCAAGGTTCTTGCAATTGGTGCTTTCTCCCAAGATCTTGCATAGTCAGTTGCCAGGAATTGTTCAGGTCAGCACCAGGGAATATCCATTGTTCCCATAGCCTTGAGCAAGTTCAGGCTCAGTTGGCTGCTGTGAGGCCTTTGCAACATGGATCAATGCCAGAAGCATGAAACTTTTGTGTGATATTAGAGAAGCTTGGCTAAACATGCACATGTGCTAATGGCTTTTTTATGTTGGTTACTTTCAGTGCAAGTTGATGGTCACGAACAGCTTGTTTGGGAAGAATGAAGCCGTTCTTGTCAATCTACTCTGGGCATTGCAGGGTCACCTCCTTTCCTGGTGTTACCTGCAACTGAAGGGGAACGATGCCGTGTCTCTCCGTCATACCAGAGAAATCCTCCTCAACTGTACGTACCATTGTCTTTACACTCTCAACTTCTGCTTGTAATTTAAATTGGAAAGATAACATTAAAAATGTACAGAAAGAGAGCACCTTTCAAGAGATTACCTTTATAAATTTAGAAAAAGGATTTGCACTGCAAATTCTTTGAGTGATATTGAGAAACTATCTGTACAATGTGGCTACTTCTGACCATATTTCCTGATTTCAGTGTAACAAAATTGATACCTTCTAAAAGTTGATCACCAGCCCCAAAGGTAGAATCAAAATTTCAGTTCAGTTAGTGTCAAAAATCATTACTGCCATATCTTGCTCACTTTAACGACTCATCTGAAAGACAGCAACTCTTGACAATTAGAACTTTTTGTGTTGAGTTTTAACTTGAATTCAGCAATAGTGTAGATAATTTTAGTTGCCCCGTTCAGAGATGTTATGACACATCTCTGGAGCAGGTGGGACTTGAACCCAGAGGTACAGATGCTATCACTGTGCCTCAAGAACCCTATTTCTTGAATGTAAACTCTACCAGCTGGTGGAACTTGAACCCACATACCCAGAACAATTAGCCTTTGGGATTCTTCTAGTCCGGTGACATTCCCACTATGCCATTGCGATCTTTCTAAGAGTTGATCTAACTGTGCAAAATTTCACCTGTATTGTAGAGAACGTCTAGACTGGAAAGTGATTTGGATTTCTTTATGTTCTTTACCATAATGTTGCTGGACAGATGTAAAACGCCACATTTCCAGTGCATCCAATGTTCTGGATTTCATGATGTTGAAATGCAGTGGTAATCAGATCATGTCGAGTTTGAAGGACTCCTTTCTTGCGATGGCAACTAGACAACTGGTATGTCAGTTTAAGAAATGATGCATGCTCACTATTTTAATGAAATGTTATCATCAAAAGTTGACCGATTAAACTGATGTGATAAGAAAACATTGCAAATTTGTCTCGGTACAGCTTATGTAAAAACTGATGGTGTAAATCATGAAACTCAAAAGATGGGTGATTGATTTATTATAGTTTCTTACTCCATTTTCAGCATTTGCAGTTCATTTTAAAATAATTCCTGGATAGATTTGTTAACTTATACCACTGTAAACTATTGCCAGTTTTAATGTTGTAGCTGAATGAAAAATTATTACACAAACTAGCTCCCTCCAGTTAGAGTCATAGAAATATTCAGCACAGAAACAGACTCTTCAGTCCAACTTGTCCATGCTGACCAGATATCCTAAATAAATCTAGTCCCATTTGCCAGCATTTGGCCCATATCCTTCTAAATCCATCCTTTTCATATGCCCAACCAGGTGCCTTTTAAATATTGTAATTGTACCAGCCTCCACGTCTTCATCTGGCAGTTCATTCCATACACACATCATCCTCTGCGTGAAAAAGTTGCCCCTTCGATCCCTTTTAAATCTTTCCCCTCTCATCTTAAACCTATGCTGTCTAGTTTTGGACTGCCCTATCCCTGGGAAAAGACCTTGTCAATTTTCCTTATCCATGCCTCTCATGATTTTATAAACCTGTATAAAGTCACCCCTTAGCCTCATTATCTCCAGGGAAAATAGCTCCAGTCTATTCAACCTCTCCCTATAGCTCAAACCCTCCAACCCTGACAACATCCTTTTAAATCTTTTCTGAACTCTTTCAGGTTTCACAACATCCTTCCAATAGCAGGGAGACCAGAATTGCACACAGTATTCCAGTAGTGGCCTAACCAATGTCCTGTACAGCTGCGACATGAACGCCTAGTTCCTAAAGTCAATGCACTGACCAAAAGAGGGAGGCATACCAAATGCCGCCTTCATTATCCTGCCTATCTGTGACTCCACTTTCAAGGAACTATGAACCTGCACTCCAAGGTCTCTTGGTTCAGCAACACTCTCCAGGTCCTTACCATTAAGTGTATAAGTCCTGCCCTGATTTGCCTTTCCAAAATGCTGCACCTCACATTTATCCAAATTAAACTTCATCTGCCACTCCTTTGCCTATTGGCCCATCTGATCAAGATCCCATTGTACTCTGAGGTAGCCTCCTTTGCTGTCCGCTACACCTCTAATTTTGGTGTCATCTGCAAACTTACTAACCATACCTCCCGCACACTGATCCTTGTGGCACACCGCTGGTCACAGGTCTCCAGTCTGAAAAGCAACCCTCCTCCACCATCTTCTGTCTTCTACCTTTGAGCCAGTTCTATGTCCACTTAACTCGTTCTCCCTCTATTTTGTGTGATCTAACCTTGTTAACCAATCTACCATGAGGAACCTTGTCGAACGCCTTACTGAAGTCCATATAGATCACGTCATTACTCTGCCCTCAGCAATCCTGTTCGTTACTACTTCAAAAAACTCAATCAAGTTAGTGAGCCACTATTTCCCACTCTCAAAGCCATGTTGACTATTCCTAATTAGTCCTTGACTTTCCAAATACTGTTCCTCAGGATTCTCTCCAATAACTTGCCCACCACGGATGTCAGGCTCACTGATCTATAGTTCCCTGGCTTTTCCTTACCACCTTTTAAGTAGTGGTGCCACGTTAGCCAGCCTCCAGTCTGCCGGCACCTCACCTGTGGCTATCGATGATACAAATATCTCAGCAAGGGTCCCAACAATCACTTCCCTAATTTCCCACAGAGGTCCTGGGGTTTTATCCACTTCATGCGTTTTAAGATGTTCAGCACCCCCTCCTCTGTAGTATGGACATTTTTCATTCACGAGATGAGGGTGCCGCTGACCAGGCAGCATTTATTGCCTATCCCTAATTGCGCAGAGGGCTGTTTAGAGTCAACCACATTGCTGTGGATCTAGAGTCTCGTGTAGGCCAGACCAGGTAAGAGATCTGCAGGAGAAAAAAAATCCTTTAGCCCAATGAATATGTGCCAGACAAAAACAACCACCTAACTGTCCTAATCCTATTTTCCAGCACTTAGTCCGTATCCTTGTATGCCTCGCATTGCAAGCGTACATCCAAACACCCAGAAGTTGAGAGTTTCTGCCTCTGTCATCATTACAGACAGAGTTTCAGATTACTGCCACTCTCTGGGTGAAAGATTTTTTCCTCAATCCCTTCTAATACTCTTGTCGGCTACCTTAAATCTCTGCCTCCTGGTCATTAATCCCTCCACCAAGGGAAAGTGTTTATAACCGTCTGTCCTGTCCATATCCCTGATAATTTTATACATCTCAATCATGAGCCCCCTCCGTCTCCTCTGCTCCAAGGAAAGCAGCCCCAGTCTATACAATCTTTCTTCATAACTAAAACTCTCCAGCCCAGGCAACATCCTGGTAAATCTCCTCTGCACCTTCTCCAGTGCATTCACATCCCTCCTCTAATGTGTATTCCAGAACTGTACACCATATTCTAACTGTGGCCTAACCAACATTTTATACAGTTCCAGCATAATCACCGTGTTCTTAAACTTTGTGTCTGGGCAAAAAAAAGACAAGTATCCCATTTATGTCTTCTTTTATAAGTCACCTTATCTAATCCTGAGAGCCATGTATCTGAGTAGCCTTCACGATTTTCATTTTCTGATTGTACAAATCCACTAAATGTTATTGGGTATAACCAAATGTTGTTTTGCACAGCTATCTTTATAATAGATTCTAATGTAGTAAGAACAATGTAGTAAGATATCACTATCTCATAAGCTGGCAGACCAGTCCTTGCTAACATAATGGTCTGTCATTTTTAAAGCTATAACATGATGCATGCAGAAACTTGCATTTAGTGATCTATATACAATTGAAGCCATAGTGTATCATTGCTTGTAATATTTCCTTTATTATTATTGCAGCAAATATGCATCTGTGTTTTTAAATCTGTTCTTATCCAAGTGATTAATTTAGATTACTTTTGCATGACCATCCAATAATGTTTTATCAATTTTGGTTGTAGGTTATCTTTCTTTTGGAGCTTTCTAGTTTGGACATTCCTCACTGTGCACTTCTACAGGCTTTTGCTCCACTGGCTAAAACATTAAAGACCCTCTGTTGTGAAATTGGTGATGACTTTATAAAGGTAAGTAGTCTATATCTCACCTCTAAATAAAAACCGAAAGAACTGTGGATGCTGTAAATCAGGAACAAAAACAAAGTTGCTGGAAAAGCTCAGCAGGTCTGGCAGCATCTGTGAAGAAAAACTCAGAGTTAACGTTTCAGGACCGGTGGCCCTTCCTCAAAACTTTGTTTTTGTTGTTGTATCTAACTTCAGCCTTTTTGATGCAGACTTTTTGGTACTCGCCTAGAAAATGTATTAGTAAGATGAGAAGAAATAGGAGCTGGAGTAAGCCTGATAGAGTTACTAGTGGAGACCCACAGGAATCAGGGCTGGGCTACAATTATTTACAATGTATATTAATGAGAGAAGTGAATGTACAGTCGCCAAATTTGCTGGTGACAGCAAAATAGATGGGAAGGCAAATGGTGAGGATGACGGAGTCTGTAGAGGGATATAGACAGATGAAGCAAGTGGGCAAAAATTTAGCAAAAAGAATTTAATGTGGGCAAATGTGAGGTTATGCACTTTGGCAGGAAGAATAAAGGAGCAGAAGTAGGGAGGTTTGGCTAAAACTATACAAGGTACTAATCGGACCACAGCTGAATACTGTGAACAGTTTTTGGGCCCCTTAGCTAGGGAAAGATATACTAGCATTGGAGGCAGGTTCATCCCAGGTATAGAGAGAATTTCATATGACATTAGGTTGCATAGATTGGGCCTGAGTTCATTGGAATTTAGAAGAAACAAAGGTGACCTTTTTGAAGTATGCAAAATTGATGGGGTAGATGTGGAAAAACTGTTTCCCCTTGTGGGAGAGTCTGGGGCCAGAGGACATAATCTCAGAATAAAGTGCTGCCCACTGAAGACAGTGATAAAGAACTTCCCCTCTGAAGGTGGTAAATCTGTCAAATTCTTTATCTTGGAGGCCTATCGAGGCTGTGTTGTAAAGTATATTCAAGGCTGAGGTGGTCAGATTTTTAATCAAAGATAATCAAGGGTTATAGGGAAAAAGCAGGAAAGTGGATTTAAGGATTATCTGAACTGCATGATCTCACTGAATGGCCTACCTCTACTCCCATGTCTTATGGTCTTAAGCTATTTGATTCATTATTCTTGCATCATTATTCATTAAGATCATAGCTGACCTGATTTTCTTTTTTCTCTGTCCCCAAAAGCCCTTAAGCCCCTTGTTGATCAAAAAACTATCCAACTTGGCCTTGAGTACATTTAGTGACTCAGACTCCACTGCTTTTCAGGGAAGAGAATTATAACAACTAACAGTCTGAGAGAAGAGTTTTTTCTTCTCTTTTTTTTAAATGGGAGACTGTTTTTATTTTTAGACTGTACCTGCAGTTCTAGATTCCATCCTGAGGAGAAGCATGCTCAGCATCATTCCTGTCAAATGCCACCACAATGTTGTAGATATTTTCTAATCAATCTGTTCAGATATTGTTACACATCTGTTGTCAGGTGGGACTTGAACCTGGGCCTCTTGCTCAAGACTCTGCTGCCCTCTGCATAGGCTGTAGGATGTTTGAATAAGATCAAATCTCATTTTTCTAAACTTTAATAATAAAAGGCCCACTCGCTCACTCTTTCCTTATACGAGAAGCTGTTTTTTCCCCCAGAAATTAGCCTAGTGAACCTTTTGAACTGCTTCCAGTACAAGTACAGTGGAAGTCCATTATTGTACAGATGTTAATAGGTCCAAATACCAAAGCCATATTACAATTAAACTGCATAATAACAAACCTCTAACTCCTGTTTTCCTTTGTTTTTATTTGACAATTTGAAGATTTAAAGATTTACCTTTTTTTGGAGCCAGGAGGGTCCTGCTTTATGTGAATCAGGGAATATTGAATCACAATATAATGGACTTACTCTGCATGTCTCTCCTTTATATCGCAATTTTACGTAGTGCTGTAGGGAAGTCTCATAAATGTCTTGTACAGTTGTCTTGGACTTCCCCACTTTTAAACTCCATTCCCTATTCAATATTGACCAACTTTCCCAATTACTTGCTGTAACTCCATGCTAACCTTTTATGATTCATATAACCCAGAGCCTCCTGTACCACAACATTCTATAGTCTCTATTTAAATAATAATTTGCTTTTCTTTTACTTTTGCCAAAATGGGCAACCTCTCAGTTCCCTATATGCTCCTGCAAATTTAAACGCGTTCATTTAACCTGTCTATATCCCTTTACAGACTTTGTATCCTCCTCACAACTTGCTTCCCTACCTTTCTTACAGCTATCAACAAATTTGGCTACAATCAGTTGATCCCTTTAGTACAGTAAACAATTTTTCAGTCTTTACATGCATTTTGACTTTTCAGTTTATGTCACAGAAAGGTGCTTAATGAAACAGTGAAAAAGCTTTGTTTCAATTCTGATTTAAAAGTTTGGTGGTGAGACCTTGGAGAAATCAGAGGAGCCCGTGTTTCTCAGGATGTGGAGCATGGAGTCTACTCACAACTACGAAAACAACAGTCACGAGACAACGGTCTTTGTTTGTCCGGGTGCAACTTTTTTTGAAGTGGAGTTTGATGAAAAATGTGAAACAGAAAAAAGGTATTGTTCAATTTTAAACAAAGGTCTCCCTGGAGATTCTACCTGTGATATTCTGAGGAGTGATTTTATTTTTAGTTGTGCAGTGGGAAGAGAGAGAGAACAAGAGAAAACACAGATTGGTGTACTTCAGTCCTCCTTTACAGGAAAATCAGGAAGCTTTAAAGAAGGGGATAGGAAAAGCCTAAGGGAAAAAGACTGAATCTGTTTTCGTCTCTAATCTGCTGTGCCTGCTTCTTCATGCCCTTCAATCGGTGTTATAGAATGGCCTCTTCCATTGCTGTAACCATTCAGCCTTTCATGTCATGCTGGATCTTTGTGTAAGACCACCTCACCTAATCTCACTCCCATGCTTTTTCTCTGTAATCTTCGATTTTTCTTCCCCTTCAAATAATTGTCCAGTTCTCTTCCAGAGATTTCAATTAAATCTGCCTATACCGTGCTGTCCTTCCAGATTCCAACCACTCACTTTACAAAACTGTTCTTCCTCATTTTGCAGGTATTGAGTTTGTTAATCACTGTGCCAATCAGAACAGCTTCTCCGTATCTTCTATGTTCAGAATCCTCATAATTTTGAGGAACTCTATCAACTTGCTCTTAATTTTCTCTAATCTATCCAGTTAACTGAAGTTCCTTATCCCTGGAGCCATTCCTCTGGATCTGTGGGCAAAGAATTAGCCAGCGTATTATATTGTGGGAAAACGTATAATTGTCCATTTTGGCAGGTAGAATGAAAATAAAGCATGATACAGTAAATGGTGAGAAGTTACAGAGCTCTGAGATGCAAAGGGATCCGAGTGTCCTCGTGCATGAATCACAAGGTTAATATGCAGGTCCAGCAAGTAATTAGGAAAGCTAATGGAAGGTTATTGTATATCACAAGGGGAATTAAATATAAGAGTAGGGAGGTTATGCTTCAGCTATGCAGTGCTTGCTGAGACTGTACCTAGTTGTGTATAGTATTGTCAGCGAGGGTGTAAATATTTTAGAGACACTACAAAGATGGTTTACCAGACTATCTGGAATGAGGGTTGACTAATGAGAAAAGGCTAGGCAAGCTTGTATCTCTAGAGTTTGGAACCGTAAGAGACAATTGAATTGAAAAATGTAAGATCCTGAGGAGCCTTGATAGGGCCAATATGGAGAGGTTGTTTCCTCTTGTGGGAGAATCTGGAACTAGGGGTCACTTTTTACAAGTCAGAGGTCACTGGTTTAAAACTGGAATGTGAGGGTTATGAGTCCTTGGACCCCTTTCTGAAAAGGTGGCAGAAGCAGAGTCCTTGAAATTTTTTAAGGCAGAGCTAAATAGGCTCTTGTTAAGCAAAAGATGAAAGGTTATTGGGCAGGCAGGAATGTTGATTTGAAGAACCAAGCAAATCAGCCCTGATCTTTCTCAATGGCAGAACAGGGTTGAGGGGCTAAATGGCCTACTGCTCCTCCTAATTTGTATGTTTGTATAATCAGATTTACACAGACTTATCATACCTTCCTTATTTTGTACACTATACTCCTACTTACTAATCTCTTCTTCGACCTTTCCTGCCAGGTCCAGTGATCTAACCATATATACCCCACATCCATCTGCTTCTCCACCATCTCTTAAAGTTGTACCCTTTACTTTCTTCTGTCCTGTTAGGGCAGCGAACACGCTTTTGATATCTCCTTGTTTCATGGTTGTAATCCAGATTTGTAGTTGAGATGTTTGTTTAGCTGAGTGCTATGATTTATAGGTGGAATGCTTACATTATTATGGAATAATTATATCAATCAGCACCCTTTGTACAACATGACTTGAAACTTTTCAATACCTAAATAGCTCACTTGTAAAACTTTTCTCAAAGGTATGATTATTTGGAATTTACGGACTCTAGAGGAGTGAAAGTGCGCTACGATGGAAAGGTTGGAACAGAGAAATGGCCAAAGGTAAGAATTTTCCCAACAGGTTTTGTTTCTCAATGACCGTATTGTATACTGCACATTTGCTTGTAGGAATGGGAAATCTTGGCCTTCAAACATTACACTGGGACTTGATTATCTAATTTAGGACAAGACTTTGGGTTGTGATGCAATGATTCTTTTATTATTGGAGGGACCAGCGATTAGATGAAATACAAAATCTGTGTCCTGTTACTTTGGTAGATGTAGATCTTAAAGTCCTTTTAGAGCTGTACATTCTCATTGACATGCCTTCCTGTACATTAAAGAGCTATACAATGGCAAGTAATTCATCCACGGTACTCACATTAATGTGAAATCTTTGGAATCCACACTTGTCATTTATTCTGTTTGCAGCAACTGAGTTAAATTTTTTTCTGCCCATTGCTGAAGGACAGTAGTATCTGACAGGCTTGTGATTTAGGCACATATAATCATTCAACAAAATCCAAGTACGTCGTAGGATCCCCACAGTGTGGAAGCAGGCCATTCAGCCCATCAAGTCCACACTGACCCTCTGAAGACCATCCCACCCAGGCCCTTACCTCATGCAACTAAGAAGATAATTTATTGTGAGATTCCTTTTGTCCACTAATATTTGAAAATGACGATTGTCTATCCTGGCATATTGTCACTTTGTGCTATCACATACATTGCAAACAGTAGGGAGCATAAATTGCATATGCAACATTACTCCTAAACTATTTAATTTCAGTTCTGGCACATATCCTTGTTTGGGTGTCCTGGAACCTTGAAGATTAATGCAAAATTTTGTTTTGGGCATCCATGTTGGTATAGAATAGAACTGCTAATAAAAATAACAATACAGAGAAGAGGATGGCCTAGTGGTATTATCGCTGGACCGTTAATCCAGAGACCTGAGTAATGTTCTGGTAACCCGGGTTCGAATCCTGCCATGGCAGATGGTAGAATATGAATTCAATAAAAATCTGGAATTATGAGTCTAATGATGACAATGAACCCATTGCCGATTGTCAGAAAAACCACCCATCTGGTTCACTAATGTCCTTTAGGGAAGGAAACTGCCATCCTTACCTGGTCTGGCCTACATGTGAGTCCAGTCCCACAGCAATATGATTGACTCTTAACTGCCCTCTGGGATGGGCAATAAATGCTGGCCCTCCTCTCATGAATGAATAAAGAAAAATCTAATGTACCACTGGTACCTGGGGAAAGTAGCTGAATTCAAGAGTGCTCCAACAAGCAGGAATCATTATCATCCTCATTCCTTTGTGTGGACTCCAGTTCAAAGCTGGAATTTTTAAAAATTATCAGGTGTCTTTGCTTATTAAAATTTTTTTTTAGAAAGAAAAGGTAGTCCTTCAGATCATTTTTTGTGGCTGTAATTGAAGTCTGTATGTTGCTTGAAAATTTTTGTAAGAGGAAATAATTCCTTTGAAAATCCTACCTGTTCCCAATGATCCATCTGGCCCCTGTAGTTCAATCAAGACACCAGTGAGAATATCACAGAAATAGTATTTAATTCTGGCTATGCCTAACGTTCAACGTTGCACCTCTCTTTGCAGTCAGTGACATTTAAATCTGGCCCACGGCTGCAGTTTCTCTTTCACTCTGACAACTGCAACAATGAATGGGGATACAAGTTCATAGCTAAAGCATATGGCCTGCCAGATGTGCGAGTGCCTTGGGTTGCAGATCTACAGCTTCTGGTGTCACGACTGATGGGTTGCCTTGCTTCCCGAGCACTGTCTTTCAATTCAGCCTGCGGTAAGATTCTTTATTTTTTCCAAAGTTGAAAAAGCGTACCTATGGTTCAATCTTAGGTAGTTAACTGGTCATTTGGATGTTGTATCACATTTGAAATTTGCACAGGTTTCATTCCACATGGACTTTGTTGACAGAGAGAGGTGTCCATCCCACCTCTTTTTTTTTTTCAGATTTCAGAAGTGAAAGACTAGTGTCTAGTCCACTGTGGCTCGAGATTCTGCTGTTTCTACCTTCTAATTCTTCATCTGACTTCTTGGGAAAATTTTTCTCAGTACATTCTTTTTTGTGTACATTGTTTTACAGTGTCAACATTCGTACAGGTGGGTATCTTCCCTGCCTGGTACTCTTAGTTTATATTTCTGTTCTTTTGGTTGGATAATACAGTACCTTTATCCCACTACGCTTCTGCCCAGTAATGTAGGTCTATATTGCTGGTGTTTAGCCATTTGCCAATACCTTTATGACTGGACAAACTTATTTTCTAATGAGTATACCAGTTAAGTGAATCGTTAGCTGCTTAACGTGTTTGAAGATTGTTGTGACAGGTGCACTGAGACTGACAGTCAGGGAGGGAAATATAGGCCCTGATGCTTCCCCTGTTAATCTCCCACCACTACCTTTAAACTTGAGCTTCAGCTGAGTCTCTTCGCAATACAGTTTGGGCCCTGTAGAAGAGGGTAGTGCAGCACAGAGGTAAGGCATTCAGGTCATCCAGTCTGCAGTAGTTCTTTCATAGTTGTCCAGTCAGTCCTACCACGGCTCCCCCACTTTTTCCTCCTTTTTTTTATTTTTCCCAAGGTTTTATTCAATTTTCTTTTGAACACTGTAGCCATCACAATATAGGGAGGAGAGTGCATTCCAATTCCTAACCATTGTTATGTAAAATGTTTCCTCATGTGCCCCCGGTTCTTTTCCCAATCCACTTAAGAAATTAAATCTGAGCTGTCCTTCAGCCATTGGAAACTATTTTTATTTATTCTGTTGAAACCCATACTAATCTTATGACCTTCAAATCTTGTTACAGCTCCTTGGCTTTTAGAAGCGCAAACCCAGCTCTTCATTCATCTCTCATATCTGGGAAATCTTTTTTAAATTTTCTATAAAACCTTCACATCCTTCTGGTGCCAAGAAATAGAGCCATTGTCACAGTGAGATTGAACTGTTTTATATGGTTTCAACCAGCCTCATCACTTTCGCGTTCTGTACCTCTCTTTATAAAGCCCATCAGGACTAGAGGTTTCAGTGTGATGTACTTTACAACCCAGAGAATTGCACACAACTTGATTATTCATATTAGGCAACCAGCTCTGCTTCTTAGTGCCTGGCCTTGTGCCTGGGGTCAAAATGATGTTTTTCAAGGGATCCTCTTGATTCTTTCTTGAGGCCTCTTTTTTTTGTTTTTTCAAGATTTTTTTTCATTCTGTCTAGATCAGTTAGTAGGTAGTGCGGTTACATAGTTACAAGAACCCTGAGTTGTCACGCAGGGTATTTGACCTCTCTTAGAATCAGAATTAGAAGAATTCATCACTATCCTTAATTATCAACTCTCTCTTAAACTTAAAGCCACAACTAAAGCCACACAAAGAAATTATTAATTTTCTAGACATGATTGTGTTTAAATTGGGAGAACAGGTATAAGTTAGCAGCAAAGGTTTATGTTTGAAATAACTGATGCACATTTGTGGACTAAACAGAAATCATCCTAAACACAAACATGTTTCCTTTGCATACGCACAAAGGTGGAAGATTTTAAACTAACGCTATTCTATGCACTACATCTCCGATCTCTATCCAGATTTAAGTTTCTCAATTCATGCAATGTTCATTACAGTAGCATCCACAGTACTTTTTTTCCCAAATAGTGGCTCCTGAGCCTATGCCGCCTTAAATGAGAGATTTCACAATGGTTATCAAATTTCTTCATCTTTTTATCCTCCCTCAACCCATTCCCACGTTCTTCCCCTTGCAGCCTGCTCCTCATAATTTGCAGTTTCCTTACTGCTTCCACCTGCTCATGCTCGCAGCTGCCTTCTGATCCTGCTGACCCACAACAATCACAGCAACTTGCTGACAACAACCACCTACATTCCCAGCTGCTCCTCCAATCTCCGACTGATTTTCTTCAGCATTCATGAGTGATATAGGAGCAGTGAGCAAGGGTGAGAGGTAGCCTGTGATTGGAGGAGCATGAGAAACACACCATCCCTGATTGGAGGAGGAACTCTCAGATTCTGATTCCCTCTTGTGTGGGGACAATCTCGCTTTGATGGATCAACACTTGAGAGGGCAGCACTGCTGCCCAAGATGCCTCTGTGATTAACACTGCATCCCTGCTCCTGGCCCCGAGGAACAGCAAATGTTTAAATGTGCATTTCTTTGATCTTTGTCATGCTTTGTGTATTTTGCAGAAAAATCAAAAGCTTATTTATGAAATAATTTTTTTTTAGTAAAGGGAGTTCCTCCTCATAATACTGATAATTAGTAATTTATCTATCTGCTGGTGCAAGAGAGCAACATGTGGGCACATATGTCTCCAAGAGGACCCAATAATCTGCAGTTGAATGATACCTATGGGCACTGCTCAGGCAAGAGTGACCTGGAATGGAGGAATGGGAAATTACCTGGAGCTTGATGGTGTCAAGAGTGGAGCACAGTACACCCTTGTTTATGCTGTGTTCCGAGCTTTGCAATGCGTAGAGTGCATAGACCCTCGAAGGAAGCCTGTAGTAACAGGCAAATAACTGATGGTCACAACAGGATGAAAGGACAGTTGATCACTGCCATTGCCCTCGATTATTCACTCTCCTCTGGAGATGCCCGTGTTATGGTTTCAATGCCTCAAATTTATTCCAGTGCAATTTGCCTGAGGTTTCCTCCTCTGATCCTGACCCAGACAGGGCAAAGGTCAACAGGCCTCCAATCATCTGGGGACCTGCCCATGGAGTAAGCTTGCAAATTTTTGGCTCTGTGTCTTTCTAATTCAAGATCAAAATGCAGCAAGGAGTAGAAGAAGCAGTGAGAGCCTTCTTGTAGGATTAAAGCAGTAATTGTGTCAACCGTGTTACTTCTTTTATGCAACAGTCTCGTTTATATGTTGAAATCCTTTAGAAATCATTTTGATTAAGTTCTGATCTTGATGCAGAAATCTTGCTGATCATGGCCTTTACTAGCAGGTAGCCCCCTTGTTTCCAAATCAGATGGTCATGAGTACAAGTCCTACTCTAGAGACACAAGCATGTAGAAATGGGCTGACACTTCAGCACCATACTGAGACTGTTATATTGTCAGCAGTGCCATCTTTTGCATGAGGCTGCGGTTCTGTCAGAGGTCCTATGTAAAGAACCCAATTTATTAATCCACGTAGACAAGGTAACTTGTCACAACCAGCATTTCTCCCAACAGTACAGAAGTGACTGCTTCACTTCATTGACTTGAAACAGCTTTGGTTTGTAGAGTTCAAAAAATGGGTAAATGTATGATATGTCTTCATTTATGTTCATTTGATAATTGAATCACTTCACCCAGCAATTACTCGATGTTACTAAAGACATTTTCATCATGCATCCCTTTATTTTTGAAGGATTACTTCCGGCTGTTGAGTTACGTGTGGAGAAGGTTGCATCTGTTGTTGAGTGTCATCTCTGGAAACCCATCTTGAGACACGGAACATGTCCATGTCCAGAGGGAGCATTAGACAGCACACCATCACAAGAAATGGTAAAGATGAATTAAACTGTAGTTTTGTTGAAACTGAGAAAATATTAACCTGAAATCTTAGCCATAGTCTTAGATAAAATTGCTACCATGACTAAATCAGGGTTGGAGAGTTCACTGTTTCTAAAATCTTAACTTCTGTCCTTTAGTTTGATGTTTTTTGTAACTGACACAGGCTCAACATTGGCAAAGTAGGATTCATTGTCCCTAATCATTTGGAGCTTATCTCAGAATGTAGGACTGGAGTGACATGTAGGCATTCTGCAAATTAGCCAATGTATTGAGCTCAATTTGGCAACTTGCTATGGTGGGATTTAGACTGCATGCACTGAACTGCTTAACCAGTTCCATAATCAGTACACACTATACCCTAAATTAGAGAGTATAGTATATCAGAAAGATGCAATCAAAATCCTACTGACATCTGACATGAGATATTTATTTTTTGCTTTTTGAAGGTTTGTTTAATTATTTGTTTAGTAATGTTAATGTCTATGAGAAGAATGATGGAGAAGTAATATCTAATTGTCATTGGGAATATAGTTTATAACTTTAGAAGCATTTCACTTCTTTGAAAGCAGTGTGAGTCACCTTGAAAAGATCAAGCTTATTCACAGGAGAAATTTGCACAAATGTCAGACAACATATATTGAAGAAACTTGAAAATAGAGTTTAGTGAGAATCTGAGGATAGAGGTGTTTTCTGAGCAGGGGAGCAGATTTTGAAAAGGTGACTGAAGAGATGAAACTGTTTGCTTTGGCGACCAAGAAGAGATGCTGGGTGGGTCAGTAATGGGAATGTGGCTGTCTGAGTTACAGCTGAAGTGGGCCTGGAGGGGGTGCGGAGTTTGAGAGTGAAAGTAGACAGATAAGGGTTTAGGTTTAGACTCAAGTGGGAAGTGTTTAGAGAACTTTTGGCTTTTGCATGGATTAGAGGCTTGTAGTGGAGTTAGCTGAATGAATTGTTTATCTTAGTGATGAATGAATCCTGTTTGAGGTGAAATTGGAAAAGTAGTGGAAGAGGCATTTAAGGAGCAGATTTAGAGTTCTTCAGGTAAGGATCATACAACCTTTTTACTAAATTAAAGTTTTACATTTCTTAAAGCAGGATGTAATTTTGGTTTACTCCTCTACACCACAATTTCTAAGCAAAAGTAGTTTCTGCAATCAGTGTCCAATGGAAATAACTCTTTTTGCACTTTCTCTATTGTGTATTATAGACCAAGAATGATGTTCATAAGTTCCTGATTCAGATTGCTACCTGGGATCCTTCTCAAGAGGATTTCTCTGACACTCAGTCCGATCTAATTAAGAGACTTATAAGCCTATGCAAGAAACAGTTGGCAAAGTCGGATGTAGTTGGTGGATTTGGTCTTGGGTCAAAAGTTGATCAAGCTGTGAACTCAGTCTTTGCTTCCATGATGTACCACTGCCCTGATCTTCACAGTGCACTGAGAACTTATGGTAAATTCTACTTCTTGGTTAAAATTATTAAAAATTAATAAATATATTTAGTTTTGAGTTCATGTGTTGCATTATAAAAGGAATCCCTGGAAATGTTTAAATGTCACCAAATTTTCATGGGCTTCTCGAGCTGTTCCATTAGCCATCTAACGTAATTTGTACAAATTGTGATGTGTCTTTGAGGAAGAAATGGAAACCAGTAGCATAAACTGCTCATCTTGTAACTCACTTGCTGAAATGCTGTGGATGTACCACAATTGTCTTGTGTCAATAAATTGCAAGAGGTGCCTGGAGGCCCACGTACAGTTCTTGACATTCTACATTTGGTTTGTGTCAGGAAGTAATCAATCTTCCTGATCTAACTTCTGACACAATGAAACTGTCTTCTGATTCTGCTCTGCGCTGCAGCCGGCGCCTGAACGGCCCCCTGCTCTGCGCT